GTAGATGGAGTAAATCTTTTAACAATAAAAGAAAATATCTCAAGGGCACCAACAAGTTCATTTTGTCCAATAGTTAGTCGTAGACTACCAAAGTTATAAAATTGTAAAACTGATCCAATAAGGTGTCCAGTGCTTTTTTCCTTGAGGAAAAAATAAAAGATTACATGGTGAGAATTATAATCCCATTTGGCTCAAAAAGTGTTTGCTAAGTAATCAACAAATTTCCAAACATGTCAAAGAGTGACTTGATATTTCCTATTTGGAGCAAACACACCTCAAAATGTGGTCAGAGGGTTTTACATACAAACGGCTCAAAAGGATTGATAGCGTTAAACGAATCAAGATGTATTGTTCATCCAGGTACACCATAGCTAACTCTTTTCTCATGAATTTAAGAATTTAGATACTAAGTTTAATGAATCGAAGAAATTAGCATAACACAAATTCAAGTCCTTCTCTATAATATGTGCGCTTCCCAGGATGGGTATAAAGTACAAGGAAATTATCTTGTTATTTGACCAGCATAAACTAGGACCCATCAGATTTTCCTGTTGGTCCAAATTTGGCAAAAGCAACAAGAATATATTCTCTCAAGGTAGCTAGAAAATGAACACCACAAAAACAACATTTCACAAACCAGAACCAGAAAAACTAATGAATAAGAAGTAAAAACAGCACCACTTAAAATACGTAGGCGTTCGTTTGGGTCATCATCTCCATAGAACCATATTTTGGCATTGCTGGGATGGTAATATTTGCGATGAAACTCCTGCATAAGAAACTTATAGATCAATATGCAACAGACATGAAGTTATTGTTTTCACTACTCATCTTAACTCCATGCAGTAAATGCACAGGCATGAAAGTAACATAATAGGTATACACATGGACAAATTAGTATACATATTCACATCCAGCCAGGCATCTATGCAAAAAGGAAGTTTGAGACCTTAGACATTCCATCTACCAAAACCAACATGTTGATCACAAATGAGTCATTTATGGGGAATCTTCACCTGGCATGAGGCTACTCATGTTTGTGTCCATGTGAATATGTACACATATATGGATAAGATACTAACTTTTTAAGTGCTAATTTTTCTGCCCTCAGTGTGAGCTTTGCAGCACTTTGCCAGCAAAAAATATGTTCTGTCTGCTAATTGATACTTTTATCCACTAAAAGTAAGCCAGAAACTAGAAACATTCTAGTTTTCTGCAAGGGTAAAGGATCATTCATGTTCGAAGGTCCCCTCTTTATAAAGCATGTGTGAAAATCATGAACTAAGCCGTTCAATTAATCATCTGATTGGTATAACTAAGCTTTTTTGAAGCTTGCAACAAATCGAAGTTAACACTGTTGGTCCAAATTAAGCCATCCAACTCAGCATTCTCCTGGAACTTAATTATCACATTCTCTTTAGAAATGTAGAAATGAAAATAATTCTCATGGCATACCAATATTCAAAAGTTCAAAATACTTTTCCAAATAATGGACCGCTAGCAGCAGTTATTTAAGGTAATTATCTCAGGCACACAAGAAAAGGAGATGGTGGTTTTCATTCAACTGATTAAGAAACAGGCATCAAAATTATTATATCGTACAATCTACCAAGTACAATTGATATCGTGTAAGATACTTATGTCATAAGATAGAGCTTCAAACAGCCAAAGAATGCTGTCAATATGATAATTCATTTGCTTCTTTATGCTTTATAAACTATTACATGCTTTCATTAAGAAAAAAACAAAAATGTAGTGGCACCCAGTAAAATACATCTCATAAGCAAAAAAGTCACTTGAAAAGAAATATTTAACGCGGGAAATAGGAGCAGGACGCTGAGAAAACCTTAAACTCCTCAAATGTTAGCTTGGGAATAACTTGAGGGTCACCACCACTATCAACACCATATGTATTGTCTGGGAAAAGAGCCTGCAACCACCAAAGTGAAAGATTAACATTACAAATGCTCAAGACAATAATTATTGCATTTACAGTACAGAATACAGTTAGCAATTAGGCAGAACTATTCAATCATAAATTCAAGCAAATAGTATCATGACAGAATACTCAAAAGTCCAAGCACAAAAGCATTCCTTCCAGAAAAGCAAGAAAATAGAATGAGGAGGAGAAGAGTGATGTAGCTCACCTGCTGGGAAGTCCTGCCTAAGATGTTATCAGGCTGGGAATAAACACCTTTCATTTCATTGAAGACAACACCTGAGTTTGACAATGCCATAAGTTTGTCGGTTGTCATTTGAAGCTGTAGCTTCATGCTTTTTTAAGTAACATTATAAGGACATGAAAAAGAATGCATTTCATATTCCAGTCTGAAAATTAACTTCTGAAAGGATCAATAACTAAAACAATTTGATATGATTCAAATAGTGTTCTATGAACCTTTAAATGTTATATCGTCAGAAGGGTCATTCAGCTCATAATGCCACCCCTCTTGTTGAAATATCTGGAGATTGTCCGCACATTGAGGAAAAAAGACAGCATCTAAATATACATCAACCAAATTATAAAAGTCCTGTTTTGACAGTAAAACCATTTACCATCAGTTGGGAATAAGAACAACAAAAACCAAATATAAGTTCTCAAAGAAACTTGATGAAATTTTCAGACCTTTGCATTTGTTGAAGCTACTGGATAGCAAGTCCTATCTGGGTAGGTAAATGCATTTAAAAATGTATGCAAACTCCCTTTTAATAACTCAACAAATGGTTCTTTCAAGGGATACTTTCTTGAACCACACAGGACACTGTGCTCCAAGATGTGAGGAATTCCTGTAGAATCCTTCCTGCATCAAAATTTTCAAGACATGAACAAGGGTAATTTCTTGAATCCAATAAAGAACTATTGACATTATTCATCACTCAACACATAGTGCTGCTACTTATTATAGATTAGAACTGTGATGCACTATCTGATGCTGAACAAAAGCATGGACATGTTCAAGGAGTACAGCCAAAGAAGTTGCAGCACTGTGCAGATTGACAAAACACTATCTTCTTCCATCTCCAAGTGACAAAAATGAACATGAAAACAGAATGCAATTGTACAAGGGACTGTCCAACCAACAGATATCTTGCATTAGCAGATGCAAAACGATGTGTTTCACAAACAATCTTTTACTGAAAGCTTGCTTCCACATGCTCTAGTTTGTAAAATTCCTCAACAAGGATCGCCAATTTGACCTCTCTTGACATCTTTAGCTCTAATTTCATGCAAACATTCAATCCGTGTCATGCATGCTAGTAGGAAAATATGCTCCTACTTGCTTCCTCGGCAAAACCACAAAATACAAAATATATATGCCTCAATTAATTCACCCTCATAACTCATCACTACATAAATACTACGAATCATCATAAATCATGACAGGCCCAACCAGTCCAAAGTACAGATGGAAAACTGCGTAGATAAGCCAGATACTAAAAAGCGCATTGGGTGATGCGATACATAGGTAGATGAAAAAAAATACGAGCTAAATAGCATTTAGTCATCCTTACGGAGGTGTCCGGAAGACAATGCCAAAGCATTTGTTCTCATCGTCATTTGAAATCGACATAATTTCAGCTCCCGTCTTCCTGTGCTTATACAAAATAGCTCGCGATTTACACTCCTCAATAAACTGCTCCGACACCTTATCAAAACCAAGCTTGTCAGCCACATCATCATCCGCGCCAAGCACCTCTACAGTAGCATCCACAGATTAAAAGGATAAAACTAAATTCCAGCAGCAAAACATACCAATTAACAAAACGGGGATTGAGTTTAAAAACAAAAAAACAATAAAATTAAATGCCTGGAGAGGACTGTGGTGCTGATGTGGCAATAGCTCTGATGGAGTAAGGGGAGAAGTCTCTTCGGAAATGAAGTGAAGGATGTGAGACAGCGGTGAGCAAGGGAAGGTGATGACGGCACGGGAGAATCGATCGTTGCTGAGTTTTTGCAAGTGGACGGTGTCGTTTAGGAGAGAAGCGTGCTAATCGGTGTAACGAACGGCAGAATATTCTGGAGCCAGCGAGCTGAGAAGTAGAAGAAAGAGAGCGTAAAAGAGCCGCTCTCTCCATGAGCAGGAAAGAAGATAACACTGTGAGGAGATAGAGGAGTTGGAAGACAGAGTTAGGGAAGAGCGGAGGAGAATGAAAATCAGTTTAGGGGTTTTTGTGAAAGGGAGGGAAAATAAATAAAATATCAGGGAAACAAACGAGGCGAACCGGAGAGAGAATAGATGTGTGGTGAGTGGTGACTTGGGCAATAAGAAGAAAAACAAGGGGCACAAGAACTATTGGGTTGCAATCAAGTGGAAATAGTAGGATGTTATTTGGGATAATATTTTGAAAAAAAAAATACTATAATATTTTTTTAATAATGTGATATATGTGAGATAAAAAAAAGTAATTAAAAAATATATTAATGATAGAAATAAATAGAAATTTGTAAATAAACTACAATCCAAACAAACTAGGGGTGTGTTTTGATAATAGGTTACTTGAAATATTTTTTTTTAAAAAAAAGTATCATAACAATTTTTTGATTTAATATAAGTGAGATAAAAAGGTGGATAAAAAAATGTGTTGATAATACAAACAAATAAATTTTAACAATTAATTTTCTGTCCCAACAAATTGGCCATGTTGCAAGTAATCTGACATCTTGTCTATTCCACTCTTATTTGAAGATTGTCAAATTACTTTCACAAAATAAAAGGGTGGTTTGAAGTTTGTGAATTGCTCTTAAAAAATTTACAAGAAATAAGGATGAGTTTATACTTGTGATTTGCAATTAATAAAACCTTGAAGTTGGAGTAAGGTGAATATTTTAATTTTCCATAAATCTTGCTCAAGCTATTAGTACTTGGGTCGAGAATGCCTTGGTTGAATGGCTAAAATTGAGGCCTTAGAACATAAAAATTCTGGATTTTTTTGTGGTGTTTTTGTGCGTGTGTGTGTGTGTGTGGGGGGGGGGGGGGGGGTAGATGTCTAATGTGATCAATGATCGATCATCACCACTTCATCAATACTTCATCATGAATTTTCCCTTCAATTCTACACACATGGTTTGAATTTGAAGTGAATTGCTTCTCTATCCACTTGCCTTTTGATGCTATACGACGACGCATTGATCCCCCATTCATTCTGGCCCGCTAGATGACACATTGGTGTTTGTTGAGGCATGTAACTGCGGAAACCGTGCGGAGTGCTTTCTTGTTCGCTTTATTATAGATTGATAGAAGAAAAGAGGCCACTAGACACCACAGAGATAGATAGATGGTGGAGAAAAAAAGATGAAATGGAATCGACCCAGTGCCTGCCCGTAAGAGTTGTAGCATGCACTACACGTTTCCTTGGTTTGTCGTCCAACAACAAGAAGAGCAAATAAATGTACTCTGTTTGTAAGAGCATTTTGTTTGTAAGTTGACACCAATCTTCGCCCCCTTCTCCCTTCTCCATCCTCGGGGCTTTCTAATTGTACAACGTTCTTTTTTTTTTTTGTGCTCCTTGTGTATGCGTCTCGCTCTTCCCAAATCAAACAGACGACTACAACTCAAGCACAAAAAAAATGAGTGAAATAGAGTTTGAATTTCTTCCATATTTCCGATCGTACAAAAACGGACGAGTGGAAAGATTCTTCGGCACTGATGTAGTCCCTGCCTCCCTTGGTTCCGAGACTGGCGTTTCCTCTGAAGATGTTACAATTGTGCCAGAAAATACTACTGCTGCTGCTGTATCCGCCCGTCTATTTATACCAAGCAGCATCACAATCACACCAGACCGAACGCCAAAGCCAAAGCCAAAGCCAAAGCTCCCTCTCTTAATTTACTTCCACGGAGGGGCCTATATGTTTGGCTCACCATTCTGCGCCACTTACCACCACTATCTCACTTCCGTTGTGGCAAGTGCCAACGTTGTAGCAATATCAATTGACTATAGATTGGCACCTGAACATCCTCTGCCTGCAGCTTTTGAAGATTCATGGGACGCACTCAAGTGGGCTGCTTCACATTCTGCTGGCCATGGTCCTGAAGCGTGGCTGAACGAATATGCAGATTTCCAGAGAGCTTTTGTCGCGGGAGATAGTGCCGGATCTACCATTGCGCATGCCATGGCCGTCCGGGCAGGAGAAGAGGAAGGTCTGGGAGGGGTTAAGCTAGTAGGCCTTGGCGTGATCCATCCAGATTTTGCTAGTAAAAAAGGGGGTTTGAGTCCCACCGCTGCCTGGAATTTTGCTTGTCCTGCTACAGCCGGATGGGATGATCCCAGGATAAACCCCGCCGCGGATTCGAGGTTGTCGAGGCTAGGCTGCGAAAGGGTTCTCATTTGTGTTGCTGAATTTGATGAAATGAAGGAGAGGGGTTGGCTTTACTATGATGTCCTGAAGGAGAGTGGATGGAAAGGCAAGGTGGAGATCCTGGAGACCCCGGGAGAGGGGCATGCGTTCCATCTATTCAATCCAACCTGTACAAACGCCGTCACCCTGCTGAAGAAATTGGCTTCCTTCCTCCATCAGGAGGAATAGGCAATAATAGCTCGAAAATCAATTTCTAGTCTCTAGTAAGCAGTATAATCAATAATGCTAGTTGCAGGCAATTCTTTTCATGTTGAGAAGACAATATTTTAAAATTAAAGTAAAAAGAAGGTTATGAAAAATCTGTCATGAGCAAATTATGGAAAATGTATTTATTAATAAATAAATTTGATCATATCCATTTATTATACTACTATTTATTATACTACTATTTATCATATCCATGTGTTTGGATTGTAAGTTATTTGAGATATTTTTACTGTAGCACTTTTTATGATGTGATGTATGTGAGATAAAAAGGTAATTGGGAAGATAAAAAGGTGTATTGGAAATTGTAATGGTGATGTAAGCAAATATATTTGGCCAAATAACTTGCTATCCAAACACATAAATTCGTGCACCCCCACATGAAAAATTTTTGTAGCTCCGCCAATGTGGAAAAAGCAAATTATATTTGAGTATTTCCCAGCAGCACTATTTTACAATTTTATTTGATGAATGAGACGAGATCTCGTGGTCGCAGAAAAAGGAAATTGAACTTGATAAACTTCAATGGAAGCACTCTCCTGTCATCCTGTGTAGTATGTACTGTTAGTATTTTTCTTCAGTCACGACTCACAACTGCTGGTGGTGGTCTTCCGAGTTATAATTGAGTCTCTTCATATTCGTCTCCTTTTCCTACCATGTAAATTGATGGATTTACATGGTTTATCCACTTGATCCATATAAATCCATTTAGCAAAATAGAATGCAATGGAAAGACGGACCCAGGACTCACAAATAACTTCTTTTCTTCCTTCCAGAAAGCGTCATCGTTGTGGCCCCACAAAACTAGAGAACATCATCACGTTCACAAGAAGTGGAGCTAGAAACACAGTCAAAATATTGACAACTGGCCTCTATGAGTTTGTTAAATCTGAGAAGAATCCTTTTTTGTTATTGTCTTCTACTTCCTTCAGTATATTTTCGTCTTTTTCTTTTTTGTAGATTTTTCCCTTTAGTTGCTTAATAATCACATGTTCTTTGCCTTCTACCAAGGGCCTGTTGCGAGTTACAATAACTTATTAAAAAATAATTTTTTAATAGAGTTTTTAATAAAAATACTTATTAAGTATTTAAATGTTTTAAAATATATTATTTGGAGATATTGTTCAATAAATACTTATTGTATTGGATAATATGTAATTTAAAAAATTTTAAATGTATTTATCTCTTTATTTAGTTCATAATATAGGATAAAATGATTAAATTCAATGTTTTATTTTTTAAATCACAAAAGCTACTATAAAAGTACCAAATTTAACCTTTTGCTAAAAGTGTTTTTAACACAAAAATTTTTACTCCTAATTTTATAGGATGATATTCACCAAACGTTTTGCTTTTAGCACCTAAAAATGCATTTTTACCAGAAGCACTACAACTCTTATAGGGAGAGCTTGCGCCTCTTATGGGGTGCAACCTGGCTCAACTCCGGATTAGTCAGGGCCCAAAGTGGCTATTTCATATCGAAAGATCTGACAAAAAAAAAAATACGAAAATATTTAAATGGATTATAAATGGATAATTGGTTTTTATTTAATTCATTTAGATCCATCCATTTAGATCCATTTATTAAATGGATTTAAATGGATTGGATAAATTTCATCCACCATCCGTTAAATCAAAACCAATTATGAACCATTTATCCATATTACCACCTCTATTCAATAGATTATACAATAATTATCTTCTCGAAAAAAAAAAAAAACTCACAATTGCAATCTCCCAAATGCCACCAAAAAAACCTACTCTACTCTTGAATCCAACATTAATGATTCAGATATGCCTAATCGATCTTGTCCTCCACACTTGCTTCATAATAGACGAACCGCCCACTTAATAATTTATGTTATGAAGAAGAGGAGGCCAGAGTGGTCGCAGCTGGTGCCGGTGCTGGTGGGGTAGAAATAGAGAATTTAATCAATAATCTATCTTGTTCATTCGTCACTGCTTAGCTCATTCATATATTGGCAAAGCCAGTAGCAGTTAATGCAGAAACATTCACACCTGCAACGGGTAAGCCACTAAGGTCTAAAAGAAAAGCAAGCAGAAGTCAAGTCTCAACTCTCAAATAATGGCTTGAGAAGCTAAAGCAAGATTCGTCAATAAAAACAGGGACTGATAATGGTTAACACGAGTGAGTGAATGTGAAAACATTTCCTATACCGAATCACATCCGTAAACCACATCATTTATCTCTCACCATTACAGGTGATTATTCCACAAATATCTTTTAGTGTATTTTGAAACAAACACTTGCATATGAACTTCAAATAAGTACATGAAAAATTCGGAGAATGACAATAATCAAAGTGATTATCCACTTAAGAGATGCATCTACACATCATTCTTATTGATGAAAGCAGCCAACTTCTTCAGCAGCGACAAAGCATTCTCTCCCTTGGGAAAGAACAAATTGAAGACGTGATTTTCCCCTGCAACTTCCACAACCTCCACATCTCCGCCCCACTCACTCTTCTCCAAAGCTTCTTTATAAAGCCACCCCCTTTCTTTCAGAATATCCTTTTCCGCAACATAAACCAGCACCCTTTTGCAGCCTAGCCTCGAAAGGTTGGGTTCCATCACAGGATTCATCAATGGATCATCAACCCCTGCAGATTTTGGGTGAACATAATGCCAGAGGACCTCAACATAGGCCTTCATCTCTAAGTTCTTTAGCTCAATACCGATTGCCTCTTTTCCCCAAAAATAAGGGCAGTTGAGAAAAATCCCATCAAGATTGATGCCGTCCAGTTTCTCCAGTCCAACCCTTAAAGCCATGTTATGTGCTAAGTTGCCACCAGCGCTATCCCCACCAAAAAACACGCTATCAAAGTCAACATAATCCCTGAGCCATACCTCAGGACCCTGGCCATTAGAATGAGAAGCAATCCATTTGACTGCAATCCAAGAATCTTCATAAGCAGTAGGTAGAGGGTGCTCGGGGGCGAGCCTATAGTTAATTGAAATTGCTACAACACCAGCTTCTGCAGCTACTGCGTTGAGGTGCGTGTGATATGGAGGAGAGAAGGCAGATTCGACCACAAAGCCTCCACCGTGGAAGTAGACTAGAAGAGGAAGTTTTTTATCCTGTTGGGCTTTTTTGGGCAGGTAAAGCCTAGCAGATATGTTTAGTTCTGGTGATATTTGGACATCTTTTGATTCAGTTCCGGTTTCTGGATCTACCGATGCAGCTACAATATCTTTGCCTAATAATCTTTCGACTCGGCCGTCCTTGTATACACGGATCATGGGAGAGAAGTCATGGAGTATCTCAGGTGAGTTTGCAGCCATTGTTGAACAATGGAGAGAGCAATACGGAGGAGTGAGGAAGCAGAATAAAGACAAGCAAATATTTGCTGGTAAAAAACTTGCAATCGTATCCGCAAGTATAGAGAGACTGAAAGATCAAGGTGGTGTGGTGGGGTCGACATTAATTATTTGACTTTTCTGGATTATACCGGATTTGCATTTCGATGCTAAACAAGAGTTGTACACAGTTCCGACAAGCATATATTTTAGAATGGAAAATGGGATAATTTCAGAAACCTCTGAGATTTCTCGTAATATCACTCAATTTCTCCGAGATTTTAAAATATCATTTACCTCTCTTACCAACTTAACAAAATCAAATATCCCAATCAAATGTAACAAATTGATAACAATACCCTTGCACTCTTTATAACTATTTAACCAAAAAATCAAAACAAAAAAGAAATTTTTTAAACCAAAAAATGTAGGTACAAATTAATCAAATTGCTATCGAATATTAATCTATGTTTCTTTATATCAAGCAGGTGGTAACATAGGCAAAATAAATTTAGTCAAAGTCAAGCATTTAAATAAATTTTGCTAAGTAATTAATTCCTTGATACTTTTCGTGGGATAGTTATAAAGAAGTCAACAAATTTTTATAGGAAATATATTGTAATACATGATGTAATTTAAATTATATTGAAATTACAATAATCTCTTCATATGTGTCATTTGCGACAGAAATTCTACATATAAAGAATTTTATAAATAAGTTAGGAATAAAAAAATTCATCAAAATATGATCTAATGATGACATACATATCTAGGAGAATACCTTTTGTTGGTTAAAATATCATGCATTATACTAGGTAATAGTTATTGTATATCTCCACAACAACCCGTCATTGCATCTATAACTACACATATTTTTTATTTTTTTCCTTTTTAACCTTATTTTATTTTTTTCATTGTTGTTGTAAGCTTCATAAGTAGAATAACATAAGGGTATTATTGGAACAAAAATTTTATCCTGCTTGCATTTCCTCCAAAAAGGCCAAAATGTTACAAAGAAAATGTCAATCTAAGAATGGTAAATGAAATTTTCAAAATCTAAGGAGTTTTAAATGATATTAAGAGAAATGTTAGGGAAGATTTCAGAAATTATCCCTTGAAAAATTGCAAAGGTTATGTATTTCAATACAAGTAAAGTTTTTTTATCACCCTAATTTAAGTGTTTTTTTTTTTTTTTTGTAGACATTCACGCAATTTCTTATGTTTAGATTGTAGCAATTTAGTTTTTATTTAAAAAAAAAGATTATAACAATTTTAGGGCCTGTTCATGTGCTACTAGTCAAGTTCAGTTCAAAACACCTTAATAATGACAAAAGTCAATAATGGTAGCTGGAAACAAAAGCATGATTTTATATGTTAAATTAAATTTTTTTTCTGTAAACTACAGAAACAGTTACCTTTTGCCTCCCCTAATTAATTTTTAGGTAGTTTATCCCTTCTTTCGTTTTTTGAAACAATATATATTACCCTTTCTTTTAGTTACATTTGAATTTCCTTCTTTTCCCTCCTCTTTTAACACTGGTTATTTACGTATGATTATGAAGCGTGTAATCCATCCAAACCAAAAGCAATGACAAATTTTTTCTAATTAAGCGCTCTACCTCATATTTTGCTCATCTCCTTGGTGGGAACTGCATTGATTGATTTATTGTAATGACAAGGTAAAAAGGCAAGTTCGAGGTTAACTATTAAGACTTGCTTTACTCAATTCCCTCAAGTTTGGTAAAGAAGAAGAAGGATTCTTATTCGTTACCCCAAGTGCAACTTCCAAACCATAGATA